TGACATAACATTATATATCCTTGACTTGAAAAAGATATCTTTGCGATAAAAAATTCGTCCTTGACATGAAAAAATGTATTCTTGACTAGAAAAAATATATTTAGTTGATCAGAAAAAAACTTCGTTCCAGTTTCGTCCATAATCCAGATATTATGTGCAGAGAATTCGTACCTAATCGTGATTTCAGCCAACACCATAAAAACTCATCAACTTTTGGCTCATTGGTGTTGGCTGAAATCAACTATTGGCAAGGCAAGAGTCAATAACTCGATAAGGGGTCATAAATACGCATAACTAGAAACTAAACCTGCTGCCTTGAGGCGGCAAATCAAGAAATCATACAATATGAAGTATAATTTGTAATTCAAAAAGCTAGTCATAGTTTGAAAAGATCATTGAGACAAATCTAATGATGTATAACACAAGACTTCACCGTGGGCGTTTTGCCCCGTGATACGCGGGGGCCCGTTGCCCCACTAGGTATCATTTCTATTTATATCGTGTCAACATTTTATTTTAAAAGCTAATAGTCTTAACTTGATCTCAAAATTATCACTATAAATATTACTTTGAAAATATAATTCACAGTAATTTCAAAAGCTTCATCTACAGTAATCGAAAAAAATTTTATGTAGCAGCAAAAAAATTTTTATCTGGACTAAAACAGTTATTCACAAATAACTTAATAACGAGAACACATAGCAAAACGTAAATCCGTACACTTAATCCCAGTGAAACTGCCGACCGGCGGTAGAGAACACGGACCAATATCTGCCATACTTAGCGAGAAACCCGCTATGGGCCCATGACCCGCAGTGGGCTCGCTGCCCCATGTTACCCTACTTCACCTCGGGAAGAACAATGAACAGCATGATTACAGTATGAGAAGACATGGTTGCAACGAGAGAGTAATGATTGAAAAGTCTAGTGTGGAAAAAGATCTCGGAGCTTATGTCGACAAGGAGCTGAAATTTTCTAAGCATGTTGAAACGCAAGCTAACACATCCAACAAACTTCTTGGACTACTCAGACGCTCATACGAGTGCCTAGATGCAGAAGAGATGAAGCAGTTATTTGTTGCTGTCGTGCGCCCGAATCTGGAGTTTGGAAACGTCGTGTGGTCACCGGAATTTGAAAAGGACAAAACTTTAATAGAGAATGTTCAAAGACGTGCAAAATTCCAGACTTGGAGGGCAAGCCCTATGAAGAAAGATTAAAGATCATGAAGTTTCCAAGCCTCAGTTATCGCCGTCTGCGTGGGGACCTCATTGAAGTATACAAGAATACTCATGGTTTAAACTAGGTCCCCGAAGGATTACTAGAATTTGAAACAAGAACCAACACCAGGGGCCACGGCTAAAAACTAAAAAAACTGCGCTGCAACTTCTCCATGCGCCAACATTTCTTCTCGCTTCGAATCACCGACATGTGGAACAGCCTCCCCGATGACATCGTTGGCGCTCCAAGTATGAACGCGTTCAAAAAAAGACTAGATAAAGCTATGGAAAATATATGTTCAGATTTGAAATGCCTAGCACCATATCGAACCCGGTGGAAGTCGAGTAGCTATTTCAAACTATCGTCAGTCATGAAAATATCCGGTCAAATGACACGATTTCAGATCTTCTGTGAACGAGGCACGAAAATTAAAAGAATCGGCGACAGGCCACAACAGGCCTACAATACAGCGCCGAGATCACTATGTTATGTTATGATTGTGTCTTTTGTGTTGCACTCAAGGCAGATACTAGAAGTAGCCATGTTGGAACGGGCCAAGTGGGCCTTCACTCCAGCGCATGTCCGAGTCGCAGTCGAGCCACTGCACATTTAACTGGTGCACATTCGAGGTCGCGATCCATAATCCACATAATTTACCACCGCTACCAGGACCGCCCTGAAGGTTCCCTTCCATGAAGACTGTACCTTTCCTGCTCACATTAATGCCCCGTGTTCCAAGAATTTGGACTTTAACAAACACAGCCACTCCTCAAAACACAAACTGGATCTTGCCGAGCGATCGTTGGAGTGTGTGAGATTTGTCATTCTATCGGCCGCTTCGTTTCTGCGGATGCTGGTATGACCGCGAACCCAGAACATTTTAGTGTTAGATCTGCCGTAGGCATTACCTATGGTTGAACTATAAATGACGCACGAGAATTTCCGCCTTTCAGCGCATCTCTCTTGTGATGTCATTGAGTTCGAAAAACGTAAACAGTCCCGTGCCTGGCTGTGCGTCACGCTGTTTCGGTGTCATTTGTGAAAGCAGGTAAAATAAAATTGACCTCCTCAAAATGATCTAAAAAAGTTCAATAGCTGCAACTAATCTTTTTTTACGGTGCCGATGTTACTTATGAATTTTGTTGAGTGAAAAAAATTACTAAAAAACTACTAAAAAAATTACTAAATTACTAAAAACTTCTATTAGTATTACTGCTGCAGGAAATAGTTAACCCTGCTGGTTTAATGTCTCATTTGTTTATTTTACGATCAACAAAATTTATTTAAGCCCGGTAAATAATTAAATAGAGACCAGTTAAGAAGACTGACTTCTAGGGGGAATTTTGAGGAAGTAAAAGTTTTTTACATACTCTCGAATATGGCACTGGAACAATGTGACACATGTGATTGTTGTCGCTTTTTCGATGTCAGTTACGTTACAGACGGAACAACTACCTCCATCCGCAAAGCTGAGCTTTTTGTGGGTCAACCTCATACTAGTTTTACAATGCACGTTATCTGTCACCTCAGATTTCTCGTACATAATTAATCCCGAAACCGAAAGCCGCCTGAATAGCCTAGTTGTTGAAAGATCAATTTACATGACATAAATTAATTGTCTTGCTTGGAGAATAAAGTACAACTAGATGGGGAATGGCTCACAATACTAACATTGTAGGGTATCGTGTACCTGAGGGACAGGTAAGATCCGTAAGAATGAGGATCAATGTTAATTTAAAAGATGACAACAATTTTTTTCTTATACTTGTGAGTGGAATTTTAGCTGAAGAAGATATACGGTACATGAGACATTAAACTCTATGTACCAAAAATACTGTAGCAACTAGCATTGATCTATTAAATGTGTGATTTTCAAAAATGTAAGACTAAATCAAGATTATAGGTTAGGTATAGCCTACCTACTGTTTTTAAAATTTGTTAGTCTACCATCAATGCCTGGCCCCTTAACTCTAAAGTTGCCACCTTACTTAAGTTGCCAGGCTCCAGGGAAAAGGAAATGTTTCTTAAAATAGACCCAATACATTTCCTTATCATAGGAAAATGCTAGAAAATTTATTAATAATGATTAAAGATAGTAGTCACTAATAATCATAGTAGGCTTGGCTATATGCATTTCCAACAATTAATTGGTAAATAGGCTACCTAATTTTGGGCCTGGGTGGTATGTCAGTATGCATAGTGGCAAAGCAGAAAGTTTTTTAGACTCTCTTTCAAGTTCATTTTTGAGTTCTATATGTAGACCAGTAAAGTATCCTTGATACCTGCATTATCATACATAAGAAATTGGTATAAATCTTGAGTTATTGAGGAAATTAAAAATGAACTGATTCCAAAAAAGCTCTGGTTTGCCACTATGTCAGTATGTGTACAAAGTTTCAAAGTTATCCATCTGTAAACAGGGTTTGTAATGACTAATGGGCATGAAAAACCTGGAAAGTCATGGAATTTGATGTTTTCTTTTCCAGGCCTGAAAAGTCATTGAATTTCAATTTCATGTCAGGTTATAGAAAGTCATGAAATTTGCAAACGAAATAAAAAAAATTGTTTTCTGTGCTGCATGTGTTTACTGTTTGTGCAGTCTCTTGTTTTATGTATTCTGATTGGAGAACCAATTACGTGAGCTCGGTTACCAAGCTCAGTTGCATTAGACAACTTTTTGATCCGCAAGGGCTGTAAATTAAAAAACGTCAACTAATAATTGTCGTGGTATTACCAATGTATGTATATATAGGTATATATATATATATATTATTGTGCTGAAATAATTAAAAAAGACTGCAACAAGGATCATTATTGGCCAAGACAAATAAGAGTTATACTAGAATTAAGAGGAATGTCATAGAAATGCCTGAATGAACTCACCAAAATGTAGAGATGATTGTGAAAATTAAACTCACCAAGCTTGGTCATTCTAGGCCTGCTTAACAAGAAATGCCAGTGTTTGCTAGTCATTAAATGTTTAATTAAATGTACATATATTCAATTAAAGATATTATTTATTAATAAATATATATATACGTATATATATATTTAATAATGAATATATATTAGATATTAAATATATACGGTATATTAAATTAAAGATATTCTATAACTCTTACTCAACTCAAAGTTAATTGTCATTAGTTTGAAAATTTTGCTCTAAAATCAATGAAAAAATCTAGATGCTTTCCAGAACAAAGTGAATATTTTTGTTTTGATATTTTCTTCTTTTTTTTTTAATAAATAGCAAGTCGTGTTGATATATTTTTAAAAATCTGTTAATTTGCAGACTGAGGTGACTAAGCTTGTGAGGCTCTGTGTCTACTCGGCATCTGGGCTGGCAAAGAAGGACATTTTTGGAGCTTCGTGAGTATTTAGAATGCAGTCAATTATTTCCAGCATCAAATTCCAAGTATAAACCTATTTAGTTGCTAGCTGCCATAGACTGGCTGAATAAAAAGGAAGTAGTGCTTCATGCTTGGCATCAGATATATATACTGTAGTTAGCATCATACCCTTTCTTGAATCACCTTTTTAGATCATACATGGAATTTTTACCTAACTTTTTGCTAGCTCCCTCATTCGTTCAGGTACGGTACTATAGAGCTTGCATGACATTTGGGCAAATTAAAATTTCTCAACACTTTTATTGATTAATTAAGAAACAATAGCCTCAAAAAATACCTAGTTTCTCCTAAATAGTTATTAATTTTTTCTCTTAGATCTGTGAGTAGTTGTTGTGTTTATAATGTATGCAAGTTAGAATTATGGGAAGGTTATTTTATTTCTAGCTCCAATTGACTCCTGAAGAAAGAACTCTAAAAGGCAACTCCTTTAAATCATTGCAATTCCAAAACTCAGGAGAGCTCATAAAAAATTTTATATCAGTTTTTAGAGTCAAGTTGATAGATAATACAGATAGACTATTGAAACACAATCATGATGTTGTCTGCCGACCTCTTGCACTTTGAACTAAACTCGGACATTGGGGGTTATTAGTGATAGTATTAGAGTTCATTTTTTTGGCCCTTCCGGTCATTCTTCTATAATTTTTTCATCATAAATAGTCAGAAGGTGATTAAAATTATTTTCCATAATAATTGTAAATAATAAGTGCTGCACTTTTGCCTTCAAATGTCAGTTGTCATACATCACAGCTTTTATTATTAAATGGTTCTTGATTGTGAAATTTTTATTCTGAGCTAGACTTCCTGCTTCAGGTTGATGGCTTGTGTGAGTCAAGGTCACAAAATGCAGAGCAAAATGATCTTTCAATTACCTTCATTGAATCAAAACCAGAAATACACTTTTGTTTAGGTTTCAGAGTTGAGTAATTCAATTCAGAGAAACACATGTAGAAGAATTGCATGTATGCCATGGTAGCAATGACATTTTAATTCAGTTTAAAACTAGCTACTACTAATTGAACTTGACTAATCAGAAAGCCACTGCCAAATTCTTACCAAGTTACATATGGTAAATCATTTTGCTCTAAATTTCTTCATTAGTATCTTAATTTTTAGCGCATTTTCTCGTTTATGGAAAAAATGCACTATTGTGCTTGCCATGTCTGTCTGTCCGTCTGTCTGTCTGTCCATCTGTCTGTCTGTCTGTCCATGACCTCAAGTTTTCGTTAATGAGAAAATGCGCTCTCTGTCACTCACTGCAGTGAGTACTGAGTTATATTTTTTTACATTGTAAAAATAAATGAGTGTGAGCACAGAAGACCTGCATCAAAGCTTTGCTGTGACCTGAGATGCACTCTTGCTTGTTTTGTGTTGCAGTGACCCCTACGTAAAGATAGAGCTCATTGACTTGAAGGCTGAGTCTACAGCCGATAATGTTGTCGACTGTGTGTACACCAAGACCATGAAGAAGGTAAGCTCTGCTTGGCCTGCCCTCCAAATAGCTGGGGGGAACCAGTGCTTTCTTCATTTATTAATCCAGTTTATTGCTTATGGAAGTATATACTTTTTATTTATTATCATCAGAAAACATTGACCTTGCTAAACTCCTGGGGGGAACTAGCACTTCTTTCTTCATTTATCAATCCAGTTTATTGCTTATAGAAGTATGGTATATATCTTTTATTTATTATCATCATAAAATACTGCCTTTTCTACATTTTATCTAATCTTTTGAGTATGATGATAGTGCATAAAATGCTCTCTAGTACATGAATCATCCAAAATGGATGATTGAATTCAAAATTTTTCCAAAGACAAGTTTGCGTTTGCTCTATGATCTGGAGTCTCATTTATTTGGACCTCTTTCTTAGTGACTCAACACAACCTTCCTGTGATTGTGTATCATTTAAGTATCATGTCCTCAATTTCCTTGAAAATTTATTGAATTAATGAATTGAACATTAGCTTCACTTGTTAACTTCTACCTACTGCACATGTTGTTGGCAGCTCTGAAAATATACCAACTTTGAACTTGAATGTTTGACAACCAGGGGCCATACTTTCAAAACTCGCTAAGTTCACGTAAGTATTACGCACTATTTTCTTGTCTATGATTGGTGGATTTTGCTCGAAAGGCCGTCAATGATTGGCGGATGAACTTACGATCTCTTAACTTTTTTTGAATGTATAGGCCCAGAGCCATAGTAATTCATGATCTCTAAAGAATATTGCTGACAATATAACTGGTGCAAAATAATTGATATTTGTTTGGGTCATAGATTGTATTATTTTTTGTTCAAAAATAAATTCTAGCCATTGCCTGCATTGCAACAATCAAACAATTTTGAGGTATTTTTATATGCCCTGCTGTTTCTCCTGTCCCTGATAAGGATCTTGCTGCTGCTTAACTCTTTGCCTCAATATGCACTAACAATTGCCTATGATATTTCATATTTAAAGCTTTTCACAGAAAATTACCATCATCAGACAAAGTAGAAATTGCAACATTGGACATGAGAAATGATGTACCGTCAACTGGGGTGACTTCGGCCTCCGGGGTGACTTCGGCCTCCGGGGTGACTTCGGCCTCCGGGGTGACTTCGGCCGCCGGGGTGACTTCGGCCGCGTTTTTGATTTTGTTTTGCAAACAAAAGCGGGGTCATAAACGATGGCCAAAGTCACTCCGGCGTTTATGACCTTGTTTACGACCCTGGCGTTTATGACCCCGGCGTTTACGACCCCGTTTTTGTTTGCAAAACAAAATAAAAAACGCGGCCGAAGTCACCCCAGTTGACGGTACCTATAACCTGCTACTGATGTTGTAGCTGTCCTCCTACATTGTAGCCTGTGAAATCAAAGCTTCTTCTTCTCATTATCTTGTTAATTGCATTTGTGTTCACATTTGGAAGCAGCGTGGTAAAAATAAGCCAACTTGAATCATGTTTCTTTCTCTTTCACCTATGTTATGATTTCATTCTTTTTATCGTAATTCATACCTAGTTTTGTTTTGCTCCTGTTATATTATGGGATAGAAGTAAATTTATTTCCTTAGCAGCCTTGTTTCTCTCTGAATTATCCAGTAGTTGTTGCTTCTTTTCTACGGTTAGCACAAGGGAATTTGCACCTGAATATGTCCAATTTATTTATATTATAATTTTTATTATATTACGCTCATGCAATACCGGTACTGAAGGTTTATTTACTGCTAATGCTGTCTATGTTCTTCTTTACTTGCAGACTCTGAACCCTACATGGAATGAAGAGTTCTTACTACGGGTGAGTGACTTGTGTTTTAAATTACTTCTGGGTTTCATTTTTAATGAAAATTGCTGCTAATATTTATTTTTAATCTGATTGAAATTGCTCATGGTGAAGTGCTGGTCAGTCTTGCTATGTACTTTCAATAATTAGCTCATATCCACCAAAGTGTTAGTCAGGGAACATTGTTTCTTTGGAGCATAAAACCTTAATTTATCAAGCTAAATGCACGTACATCACTCTAATATCATGCTGTTTTTTGTGAGTGTACATATTTGGAAACGAATTTCACAGTACAAATAGTTTATAACAAAATTCATGGGTGTAACCCAGGGCTAAAATGGTTGGGCTAGAAGCAAGGTCCTAAGTAATAGGGTTTAGGAGCAAACAGATCAAGCGGAGTGTACAGCGTGTAAAGTGTACAATGTAACAGAGTGTAAAAGTGCAAGGTAATGGATCATGGGCAGGCAAAGAATTGCTGAACAATATACTAAAAGAAAAGAAACTACATCTTACATTACTAGCTTGCCTGCCTAAGCATGCAACTGAAAGGCATGTATAATTAGGATGGGACAGTTACCAGGCAATTGGACAGATGTTATTTAATGTACAAAGTGCACTGCAAACCAGGCAAGTAATAAACAGTTCTTATCGATAATCTCTGAGAAGATGGGGAGAAGTAAAAAGACAGACTAAAAGAGAATCACAACGCCAAACAACCCCATTTCAAAATGATGAAATTGGATAAGTTTTCAAACAAATAGATGCTAAATGAATGAGAATGTAAAATTTATAATGTCAAATAAATCAAACTGGCGCAATGTGGTGACGTATCAAACATAGGATCGAGTTATGATGATTTTAAACAATTACAAGTAAAATTAATTTGCAATCAAAGATAATTTAACTAAAGCACAATCTTTAAATTGTATATTCTACTGAAAAAGGTTCCCAATGCAATACTCACTGTACAGAATGCCATGTATGCATGCCACAATATGCTGCCAACATGTTACGTTATTCTAATTCGATGCCACAGTATGCTTCTTACATGTTATATTATTCTAATTTGATGCCACAATATGTTGCTAACATGTTACGTTATTCTAATTTGATGCCGTGGGCAGGTGAAGCCCCAGGACCACAAGTTGCTGCTGGAGGTGTACGACGAGAACCGCATCACGCGGGACGACTTCCTAGGGCAGCTCGAGGTGCCCGTGGCAACCATCCCCCCCAGCAGCGACGCCAGGGCCACCACCCGCAGCCGCTACAAGCTACAGCCACGCAGGTGGGGGGCTACAGCCACGCAGGTGGGGGGCTACAGCCATGCAGGTAGGAGGCTACAGCCACGCAGGGGGGGACTGGCTGTCATATATGTGGCACATGTTCTTGTAGACTACATGTCTGTTCTGTGCATATTTATTTTAATGTTTGTTTGTTGTATGGTGCGTTGCTCCATATGCGGCTCTCCATGTTTCCTAACATGTGCTAATAATATATGAAAATTTTCTTCGGGAGCAAGCGGGCGCACAGAAAATTTTATGTTGCCTGTTATGCAATATGTTGCCAACATGTTGGCAACATATTGGCAACATGAGAACATGACATGTTCTCATGTTCCTGACATATTGCATTACATGTTCTCATGTTACTGAGATATTGCATGACATGTTCTCATGTTACCGACATATTGCACGACATGTTCTCATGTTACTGACATATTGCACGACATGTTCTCATGTTACTGACATATTGCATGACATGTTCTCATGTTACTGACATATTGCATGNGATGTGTATAAGAGACAGGGCGTGAGCGTAACGTGCACACGTCGTGCCGTGACACTAACGACGTGACGTGAGTTTGACGTGCGTAACGTGCACACGTCGTGCCCTGGTCGCGCCTGAATGCTGAAGTTTACGTTCTTTCCCCCAGGCAACGGAGCTCCTCCAGCACCACAGCGGCGGCTGCAACCCCTGGTCCTCCTCCAGCAGCGGCAGGAGGGGAGGCGAGCCCCGACGACCCCAGCTGGGAGGTGCTCAGCATTGATGCCCACACCCCAGGGCACGAGGAGCAGCCTGCCCCGGTACAGTGCTCCCCATCGCGGGGGTTACAGGACTCGCTTTCTAATACTGGGGAAAGGCGGCCCCCCCACTATTATTGGCTGTGGGGACCTGGGGGCACTAGGGGGAGGGGGGTTTTCTGATGCTGGGGGAAGGTGGTCCCCCACTTTCGGGGCTATGGGGACCTGAGGGTACTAGGGGGGAGGGGGGTTTTCTGATGCTGGAGGAAGGTGGCCCCCACTATTATTGGCTGTGGGGACCTGGGGGCACTAGGGGGAGGGGAGTTTTCTGATGCTGGGGGAAGGTAGTCCCCCACTTTAGGGGCTGTAGGGACCTGGGGGCACTAGGGGGAGGGGGGTTAGGAGGTTCCAGGGAACCAATCATAGTTAACCGAAATAAATACAGGTAATAATAATCAAAATAACTGGTAATAAGTGTCATGAATCACTCGTGATGATGGCAATAACTATTAATGATATTGATTGTGGATAATAATGTAGACATGTAGCAGCCATGCCGGCCTAACCCCTCCCCTCCCCCAGATCATGCCGGCCTAACCCCTCCCCTCCCCCAGATCATGCTGGCCTAACCCCTCCCCTCCCCCAGATCATGCTGGGGACGAGCCGCGGTAGCCGGGCGGGTCTGCCCGACAGTTGGGAGGAGAGGCAGGACGCCAACGGCAGAACCTGCTACGTGAACCACGTGACGCGAACCACCCAGTGGGAGAAGCCTACGAGGTACGTGAACCACTGCTGCAGAACCAACGTGAGCGGTCGGCCGACAGTTCAGTTCATAACTAAACCTCATGCGTGGTGTGCACCTCGTACATTTATTATACTATGTTATATGCAATATTACTTGAATTTGCTTTATTGGGTTTGGATCTGTAACATGCACCATAACATGCACCGTACACCATAGTACCTCGTATATTCATTATATGTACAGTGCAATATTACTTAAATTTGCTTTACTGGTCCTGGAGCGGTAATATGCACCGTACACCGTAACATGCACCGTAACATGCACCGTAACATTTCCCGTAACATGCACCGTAACACACACCGTAACACATGCACCGTAACATGCACCGTAACACACCGTAACATGTCCCATAACATGTCCCATAACATGTCCCGTAACACACACCGTAATATGCACCGTAACACACACCGTAACATGCATCACAAGTGTGTTGTGGTCGTGCAGTGCTAGCGGCGGGGCGGGGGCGGCGCGCGTGTCCCGCATGGAGTCCGCGCAGCTGGAGTTCAACAACGAATTCCGCCGCCGCTTCCACATCTCAGCCGACGACGACGCCCGCCACCGCCACGACAACACCGCCATCCTCAGTCGGGTGAGGGGGCGTGTTGCCGGCACCTCATATTACCGGCATCTCATATTGCCGGCAGCCAAATGTTGCTGGCACCTCTAGGCTGTTGCCAGCGTCTCGTGTCTGTGCTAACAGCGCCGTAGCGCGCGATTACTCCACATGTGTCCTAACTTCACTTATTTTTTTCTTTACTTACCTCATATTTTCACGTACTTCACTTTCATTTTTCTTTACTACAGTTATATTTTCTGTGATACACACATTTTTATTCAGTGCTCATACTATATGATCCTTCAATTTAGTTATATGTTCTTTCAATTCACTTACATATTTCTTCATTCCAAATGCATGATGTTCTCACTTTATTATTTGTCCTCACGCTGCATGGACTGCGTCCTGTTAATGCCAACCTTCTATTACTGCTGCTGCTATTTCCTTGCATTGATTGATTGTTTGTTCTTTTGTTGAATTGTTATTACCCTGCTCTCCACTTGTTATTACCCTGCTCTCCACTTGTTATTTCCCTGCTCTCCACTTGTTATTTCCCTGCTCTCCACTTGTTATTTCCCTGGTCTCCACTTGTTATTTCCCTGCTCTCCACTTGTTATTTCCCTGCTCTCCGCTTGTTATTTCCCTGCTCTCCGCTTGTTATTTCCCTGCTCTCCGCTTGTTATTTCAATGCTATCTGATATTAATTTTCCCTGTTCCTTGATTAATTTCCCCGCTTCTCATCACAACCTTTGAGTGGCGCGCCGCGACAGTTTTTATTCGCTCATCGTACAGCTTGAGGACGATGACTTCTCAGTGTTCGACGAAGCTCACTTTGCACTAGATGACGGTAACAACACGCCACGTCATAACGAAGATGGCAACACGCCACGTCTGAGCGGAGATGGCAACACGCCACGTCAGAGCGAAGATGGCAACACTACACGTCAGAACGAAGATGGCAACACGCCACTGCAGCAGCAACACGCAACAGACGACTATGGCCCTCGTGGAGACAAGCCTGGAGTCAGTGATGTTGGTAACTGCAGTGACGACTCTAACGACTGGGAGGAAGACGCTGACGGAAATGAGAAGCTCTTCAATGACGAGAGCGAGGACTTGGCCCACGTCATTGTTGATAACATTATTTATTCGTCGTCTGTTGACTCGCCTCTGTCAGGTCGCGGTCCAGCCGTTGCACCAACTGAAAACAATGATAACAGTGATGCACAGGTAAAAGCAGTCAATGAGTGCTCTGCTGAGGCCGCTGATGAGTCTACTGCTGAGGCTGCTGATGGGTCTACTGCTGAGACTGTTGATGTGTCCACTGCTGAGGCTGCTAATGTGTCTACTGCTGAGGCTGTTGATGGGTCTACTGCTGAGGCTGCTGATGTGTCTACTGCTGGGGCTGCTGATGGGTCTACTGCTAAAGATTCTTCCACTGCAGGTTCTGACACTTCAACTGCTGGGACTGATATTTCTAGTATTTCTGATCCTGCAAGCGACTTGGTTGCTGCTGCAAATGATCTTTTGGGATATCCAGATACGAGTATTTATGCTACCACCGATGCCGCGGCAACTTTCGCAACTTGCTCCACAGTCACTGATGGTGATTGCTCCACAGTCACCTGTACCACTGGCCTCGCTGTCACTGATGCCGCGGTCACTTGTGCCATTGACTCCGCCCTGCCTGATTCCGCGGTCACTAGTGTCACTGATGCTGCGGTCACTAGTATCACTGACTCCGCTGTCACTGGTGCCGTGGTCGCGCTGGGGGACGCTTCTCGCGGCTGCGCCATTTCTGCGGCGAGAGACGTAGCAAATTTACCTCTGAAGTGCTGTGGTGGCAACACTCCTGCGGAGTCATGTGGTGACAGCCGTGCCAATGAAATGGTAGAGGCCACTGACGCTGCGGCAGGGGGTGCTGGAGTAGAAGACGCAGTTAGAGGTGCTGCTGCTGAGGGCGCAAGTGACAGCGTTGCTGGGGCTGTGTGTGTTGGGTGCGGACAGCCCCAGGCTTCCGAGGGACCCTGGGATGAAGCCTTGCGCTGCTTTAGTTGCGCCGCTGCGGCTGAGGAGCTTCCTAAGGTGAGGAGCGTCCTGAGCAGAGGAGCTTACTGAGGAGATGGGCGTCCAGGGTCCAGGGTGGAGCAGCTTCCTGAAGTGAGGGGCGTGCTAATGCCAGGGCTCTCCGGAGATAAGGGTAGGCACTGCACAGTGCACAGCCTAGGATTGTTTTGAAATAGTGGCACTCATGTTGGCACTGTAGCTGGCACTCTCATTACATTGTACCGAGTAGGTGGCACCCATGCTTGGCACTGTAGCTGGCACTCTCATTACATTGTACCGAGTAGGTGGCACCCAGTCTCTTATACACATCTAGATGTGTATAAGAGACAGGCTCTCCACTTGTTATTTCCCNGTCAAGGTGAGTCTACGTCAAGGTGGGTCAACAGCGCGTGTGTCAACGACCAAGTGTGTCAATGGGAGCTATTGTTAAGTGTGTCTGAAAAATCGTTGAGTCAAAAGATTGAGTGACTTCAAATATCACGATGTGAGCCAGGGCGACGCAGAGTTGGTAGCGTTATTTCTATGTGTACGTGGCACGCTACCCTCGTGTACCGTGGCACGGTACCCTCGTGTATCACTACCCTCACCCCCTCCCTCCCCTCAGGCCGCCGACGACGCGCCGCTGCCCCGGAACTGGACGAGTCAAGTAGCCCCCAACGGCAGGGTCTTCTTTATAGGTGGGTCTGGCAGCCCCCAACGGCCGGGTCTTCTTTATAGGTGTGTCTGGCAGCCCCCAACGGCCNCTTCGAGTACTCGGCCACGTGAGTACCTGGCCTCTACTACGGCCTCTTCGAGTACTCGGCCACGTGAGTACCTGGCCTCTACTACGGCCTCTTCGAGTACTCGGCCACGTGAGTACCTGGCCTCTACTACGGCCTCTTCGAGTACTCGGCCACGTGAGTACCTGGCCTCTACTACGGCCTCTTCGAGTACTCGGCCACGTGAGTACCTGGCCTCTACTACGGCCTCTTCGAGTACTCGGCCACGTGAGTACCTGGCCTCTACTACGGCCTCTTCGAGTACTCGGCCACGTGAGTACCTGGCCTCTACCTGTCTCTTATACACATCTAGATGTGTATAAGAGACAGAGCTGGGACCGCTGCCCGACGGCTGGGAGCAGCGGGTCCACACCGACGCTAGGATATTCTTCATAGACCACAGTGAGGGCTGGGAGGACCACAATGAGGCTATGAGATATGAGTAAAAATCATCATCATCAAGACATGCTCGGCCTCATGGCTGGCAGTCGGGAAATATACGATGATATATTTCCTCTTTTTATCATGATAATGTAATATAATTTATAGTAATTTAATCAAGTATGAAAGAGCTGAGCCATTGAAGTGCTAACCACGCCCCTTGTCTGAGCAGAGAACCGCACCACCACGTGGGAGGATCCCCGCCTCCACAACCCCGCCATCGCAGGCAAGGCCATCCCCTACAGCCGCGACTACAAGCAGAAGTACGAGTACTTCAAGACGCGCCTCCCCAAGCCGGTGGGTGGTACGGGGTACTGGGTACTGGATGCTGGGGTACTTCTAGACGCGCCTCCCCAAGCCGGTGGGTGGTACTGGGTATTGGGGTACTTAAAGACGCGCCTCCCCAAGCCGGTGGGTGGTACGGGGGTACTGGGGTACTTCAAGACGCGCCTCCCCAAGCCGGTGGGTGGTACGGGGTACTGGAGTACTTCAAGACGCGCCTCCCCAAGCCGGTGGGTGGTACGGGGTGCTGGGTTCCTTCTAGTGGCGTCTTTCCAGGCCGGTGGGTGGTAGGGGGTACTGGGTGCTGGGTGCTGGGGTACTTCTAGACGCGCCTCCCCAAGCCGGTGGGTGGTACTGGGTATTGGGGTACTTCAAGACGTGCCTCCCCAAGCCGGTGGGTGGTACGGGGTTACATGTTGCTGGTTTTGGTGTTGCAAGTATAAGTAAGGAAGTATGCATGTAATAAAGCTTGTTATAAGCAGTATAGTCATCAAGTTCTAATGTCGCTTGCCTTACAGACGAACGTGCCGAACAAGTTCGACCTGAAGGTGAAGCGCGGCAATATCCTCGAGGACTCCTTCGCCATCATCAGCAGCGTCCAGCGCACCGACCTCCTGCGCACCAAACTCTGGATTGAGTTCGAGGGCGAGGTGGGTGGGGTGGGTGTTGTGGGTGGGGTGGATGTGGAGGGCGAGGTGGGTGAGGTGGGTGAAGTGGGTGAAGGAGTCAGTGTCGTAAGTGAGCAGGTTGTGGTAGGCGGCTCTGTCAATGTTGTGCTAAATAAGTGGTGTGGCGGTGGTGTGCGGGTGGGGTGGGGGTGAGCTTAGCGATTTGTAGGCTAGACGTGCCTCCAGAGTTCCAATCGCATTGATATATAGCTTCCCTCCAGTTAATTCTGAGCCTCAAATGACATCTCTCCTGTGCCACTTCCCTGACACATCCCCTCCCACTGACACTTCCCCTCCCTCTGATACCTCCCCTCCCCCTGACACTTCCCCTCCCCCTGACACCTCTCCTCCCCCTGACACTTCCCCTCCCTCTGATACCTTCCCTCCCCCTGACACTTCCCCTCCCTCTGATACCTTCCCTCCCTGTGACGCCTCTCCTCCCACTGACACCTCCCCTCTCCCTGTGCCACTCCTCCTGACACCTCCCCCCTCCCTGTGCCACTCCCCCTGACACCTCCCCCCTTAATGGTCCAGTGCAAGTAGTAGGTTCCAGCCCCGGCTAGCTGCTCGACGGTCCGTGTCTTCCCAGCATTGTTATTAATTAACGTTTAATGTCGCAATATAAACTTATTAGATAATTAAAACTTGCTATAGTATAATGGTCCATTGCTTAATTAACGTTTAATATCGCTTTATAAACTTATTAGATAATTAAAACTTTCTATAGTATAATGGTCCAGTGCAAATTAGTAGGTTCGAGCCCCGGTAAGCTGCTCGATGGTCCGTGTGTTCCTAGCACTGTTCTTAATTATTGTGAAATGTCGCTTTATAAATTTATTAGATAATTAAACCTTGCTATATTATAGTGATCCAATTCAAATTAGTAAGTTCGAGCCCCGGCATGCTGCGAACACTGTCCCTTGTAGGCGTCGCCCGCTCTCAGTCAGCATGCTCGAGTTACCCTTACTTCTCCGTCACTTTTACCGTGGTTTGCCCTCAGCTTTCTTCATCCGCCCCTTCTACAAGATGATGCTGGAGAAGCCCATCGAGCTCAAGGACATGGAGAGCGTCGACTCTGAGTACTACAACTCCTTGCTCTGGATCAAGGTGGGTCACCGGACCCACTACCGTGCTGGCTGTGCCGTGCTGACTGTGTCGTGCTGACTGTGTCGTGCTGACTGTGTCGTGCTGACTGTCGTGCTGACTGTGCCGTGCTGACTGTGTCGTGCTGACTGTGTCGTGNGTGAGATGCTGTACACTAACCTCGCTGTACCAGCAGACTAGTAAGTAGTGAGATGCTGTACACTAACCTCGCTGTACCAGCAGACTAGTAAGTAGTGAGATGCTGTACACTAACCTCGCTGTACCAGCAGACTAGTAAGTAGTGAGATGCTGTACACTAACCTCGCTGTACCAGCAGACTAGTAAGTAGTGAGATGCTGTACACTAACCTCGCTGTACCAGCAGACTAGTAAGTAGTGAGATGCTGTACACTAACCTCGCTGTACCAGCAGACTAGTAAGTAGTGAGATGCTGTACACTAACCTCGCTGTACCAGCAGACTAGTAAGTAGTGAGATGCTGTACACTAACCTCGCTGTACCAGCAGACTAGTAAGTAGTGAGATGCTGTACACTAACCTCGCTGTACCAGCAGACTAGTAAGTAGTGAGATGCTGTACACTAACCTCGCTGTACCAGCAGACTAGTAAGTAGTGAGATGCTGTACACTAACCTCGCTGTACCAGCAGACTAGTAAGTAGTGAGATGCTGTACACTAACCTCGCTGTACCAGCAGACTAGTAAGTAGTGAGATGCTGTACACTAACCTCGCTGTACCAGCAGACTAGTAAGTAGTGAGATGCTGTACACTAACCTCGCTGTACCAGCAGACTAGTAAGTAGTGAGATGCTGTACACTAACCTCGCTGTACCAGCAGACTAGTAAGTAGTGAGATGCTGTACACTAACCTCGCTGTACCAGCAGACTAGTAAGTAGTGAGATGCTGTACACTAACCTCGCTGTACCAGCAGACTAGTAAGTAGTGAGATGCTGTACACTAACCTCGCTGTACCAGCTGTACCAGACTAGTAAAAAGCAAGATGTACTAATAATAATAATCGTAACAATAAATACTAAAATATTTAATTAATAACCTTCTCTGTGGCGCAGGTTGGTGATCAAGTGGCGGTTCGTGGAGCGCGTCAAGGACCAAATGGACGCGTTCAAGGACGGCTTCAACGAGGTTGTCCCCATCTCGCACATCAAGATCTTCGATGAGGTTTGTTTGTTCTTGAAAATTTATTAACTTTTGGTGTTTGCCTTCCGAAGAATTGAATGTATGATTACTTAATGTATGTATACATAATAACTCTTGTTAGTTTCATGTCATAGAAAGTATTTATTTCAGCAGTTGCGCGGGTGTTGGAGACATGAATCTATGAATCTACTCTCTCACTTGTCATGCAACCAATACACATCATGCATGCATATCTCATCATTAACGCTGTGATGATTTTCTTAAGAATTGCAATAGATTGTCTTTCGAAAATTATCTACATTGTTAAATTTTAAATATTGCTTAACAGCGAGAGGAAAAAAGTTTTTATAGGCTCGCCTAGTGCCAGTGTGAAGGTTAGAACGAGGGTCTTCATAGAAAATTAGATGGTAGGCTCTCTAAAGTTTCTGTTCAAATGAATAGCCTGATAAATTTAAATGATCGAGTTAAACATTTGATCTGGAATCTAAATAAATCTGAAGTGAGAACCTCCAAAAAGATTGTTAGATTTGTTGTATGTTCCTTACTTCTAATCCTGTGAAGTGAGTGACTTATTAATTGCCAGTTCTGTTTAGACTTGAATCTTGCATGCCGTGGTCATGGCTGCTAAACATGTCTCTCTCTCATCGCTGAATATTGACCATTGCTATGAGTGTTAATTCTCCCACGTATGGCCACCAGAACTATTGACCATTGCCATGAGTGTTAATTCTCCCACGTATGGCCACCAGAACTATTAAACATTGCTATGTGAGTTAATTCTCCCACGTATGGCCACCAGAACGAGCTGGAGCTGCTCATGTGCGGCATCGTGTCCATCGATGTGAAGGACTGGCGTGCCAACACCGTCTACAAGGGCGAGTACCACCCCAACCACATCGTCATCCAGTGGTTCTGGCGGGTGAGTAGTGGTAGTATAGCACCCCAACCACATCGTCATCCTGTGGTTCTGGCGGGTGAGTAGCAGTGTTTCTGGCGGGTGAGTAGCTGTGGTTCTGGCGGGTGAGTAGAGGTAGGATAGCACCCCAACCACATCGTCATCCAGTGGTTCTGGCGGGGGAGAAGTGGTAGAAGCATAGCAGCTCAATGCTGGTCTTATCCTATTGGGTTTAGGATAAGTTAACCTCGCCAATGCTATTGGAGGCCTGGTAAGCAGAAGCATTGGGTTGAAACGCGTGACCTGAACATGAGTTCCTGGCGACAGGTTGTGCTGTCGTTCGACAACGAAATGCGGGCGCGGCTGCTGCAGTTCGTGACGGGCACGTCGCGGGTGCCTATGAACGGCTTCAAGGAGCTCTACGGCAGCAACGGCCCCCAGCTCTTCACCATCGAGATGTGGGGGGACAGCACCAACTACCCCCGCTCACATACATGGTGGGTGGCGATGAAGGAAGCTTCTAACACGTCTAACTTAAGTCAATGCGAAACGTTTCGAGGTGCAAGTATTATAAAAACGGCAGAGGTTTTGACTTTATGTGTAAGCATTTAGAATGAAGGAAGCATGCTTTTCAAAACTATTTTTCACAGCGTTGCATAAATTTATTTTCACTGCCAACTTGGTGAACAGCTCACCCGGCAGAACGGGACACTGATGTAATTTTTTGTGCTCAGTTTCAACCGCCTTGACCTGCCGGCCTACCAGTCCTACCACGACCTGCGCCAGAAGCTCATCAAGGCCATCGAGGGCACCGTTGGCTTCGCTGGGGTCGATTAACGTCAACTCCGCTACACCTCATTAGCCTGGTTGTTACGGTTGCGCGGTTGTTGCACCGCAGTTGTGGTTGCCCAGTTGTAGCTCTTGCTCGGTTGCCCTGTTGTTGCGGCTGTCCTGGTGTTGCGGTTGTCCTGGTGTTGTGGTTGTCCTGGTGTTGCGGTTGCCCTGGTGTTGCGGTTGCCATGGTGTTGCGGTTGCCCTGGTGTTACGGTTGCCCTGGTGTTGCGGTTGCCTTGTTGTTACGGTTGCCCTGGTGTTGCGGTTGCCCTAGTGTTGCGGTTGCCTTGTTGTTACGGTTGCCCTGGTGTTGCGGTTGCCCTGGTGTTGTGGTTGCCCAGTTGTTGCTCTTGCCCGGTTGCCCTGTTGTTGCGGTTGCCTTGTTGTTACGGTTGCTTCATCTCCTTGTGTCGTTTGTCTGCATCGGTCAGTCTTGGTGGTGCAGGAATGACAGCTGCCGGGCACCTGACACCTCAGCTGCTGGGTCGTTTGGTGATGTCCTCACACTGCACTGGGTGGTGCGTGACCTGACGCGCGTTAAGAAGGAAAGAAACTTTCTTTAAAATAGAGCCAAGATAATGTAACCACGCGCACCAATGCAGCTAAGCTAAGATAATTACGCGCACCGATGCAGCTAGGATAACTGGCTGGGTGTCGCGTTGTTGTTGTTGTCGTTCGGTCTAGAATAACAACGGTGGGTTGTTGTTGTTGCCTCAGTTGGGACCAAGTCTTGTTGTTCTCTGTGTCCCCGTCACACTCCCCACCACGTCCCAGGAGGCCCAGGTTGGGACCCTCACTCACCGTAGGGTGGCAAGTGGGGCTTGCTGATTTGAAACTTTCCACTGAATTTATCTACATATTTACGAATAATATAATAGCGTAAGGAGAGGTTTTGCATGTTGTATAGTTCATCATGTTTTACCTCTACGATCATTTCCTCGTGATTATTGTCGTCAGATAACACGATGTTGTTGCCGTTGTTGCCGCCACTTCGTACATCTTTTTTTCTCTCTGCGCCGTCAAGGCTCGTGTCACCGCTAATGGGATCGGTGTTTCTTTATTGTTTAATTGATTTATTGTTTAATTGAGAGTTTAAAAATATTAGAATTGACATTTCAAAAAATTATTTATGTTCGCTGTTACGCTGCGCTTTTCTTATCAAGTTTGTTGAGTTCAGCAAGAAACACACGTGGCAAAACTTACATTCTGGCCGCTGTGGAAGAGGGCTGAGTGACACAGGTGGCTATCAATATTCTATCCTCCCCGAGTTTTGCTCCCCTAATCCGTTAGGCCAGAATGAATTTATATGGATGATTTGGGGATAACCCAAGAGGTTAACTTCCCCAGTCTGGGCAGATCGCGGCGCATTCCTTACTCCATCGCATTCCAGACCATCGCTTCTGCGTGATGGTAACTCTCGTAGGGCGGTCACCCTCGTAAGGCGGTCACCCTCGTAAGGCGGTCACCCTCGTAAGGCGGTCACCCTCGTAAGGCGGCCACGATAATAACGCTGCAGCTCGCTACGGACGTCTTCAATTTCTGCTCATTTATTCGCCCACGTATTATTTGTTGCAGTTTGCTGCCTTTTATTTAACCTGGACGGTGGAGGTCCACTGTGATACCTCGATTCCCTGTGGTGTGGCAACGCCGTATGCCTTCATATCTCGCCCCTAAATCAACTTATTGATATTTAGCCTTATTTGTTCCGTATGTTATTATAATTGAAAGCTTTCTTATTATACGTAGCATATACCTGTCACTTATACCATCCCCTTTGCCGCCATGCGCTGCCTTTGGTATGCAGGTTCACCGGTGTGGGGTTATCACGTTCGTCGTCCGAACAAAAATTGGGTTAGAGCGCTTCTCCGTTCATTTCTTTAGTCGTGTTTTTTTTTTTTTTTTTTGATGATTGATCGGTGGATGAAGGGCAAGTTTTCCAGTCAAGCATTCATGTTCATCACGGAGTGTTGGTGCACGAGTAAGCAATAATAACTAAGCATGTGAAGACAACATGTACGTACAACCGTACAAATTAACATGTCAATTACAGCTGAACAAATTAACATGTCAATTACAGTTGAACAAATTAACATGTCAATCTGCAATCTGGACATGGGACGTTCAGTAAGTGGGCAAGACTGAAGCTGGGATATTTCGAAGGGCTGACGGAACATTAGCTTTTCCTGCGTCCCAATTAGCCGTTAACATGTTGCTGTAACAGGAGCACGCTATCATGTTACTGGAATATAACCAGGTCATAATGTTGATGTAACATAAGCATGCCATAATGTTACTGTAACATAGGTACACCATAATACCATAATGTTACTGTAACATAGGTACACCATAATACCATAATGTTACTGTAACATAGGTATGCAAGTGCTGCGGTGGTCGCAAGTGCTGCGGTGGTCGCAAGTGCTGCGGTGGTCGCAAGTGCTGCGGGGGTCGCAAGTGCTGCGGTGATTGCAAGTGCTGCTGTGGTCGCAAGTGCTGCGGTGGTCGTGGATTGGGATTGCGAGTGACGCGTTGACCTAACCTGTCCTACTGGGTAGCTTCGGTTTGTCTCTGACTTAGTTACTAAGTTGTACTACTCTTTTGCTAAGTTGTACGACTTAGTTCCTAAGATGTGCGACTCTTTTGCAAAGTTTTACGACTTAGTTGCTAAGTTGTACGGCTCTTTTGCTAAGTTTTACGAAATTTCTAAGTACGACTTTTTCGCAAGTTTCGACGACCTCATCGCAGACTCGGCCACTGTGCTGCAAATTGCCTGGACTGTGCGCGCTGTGGGCCTTCAATGGCGCAGCGTATAATTGTTATGTGCGTAGACTATTGACAAGATTGCCTTATAAATATGTATGGATATGTTCTATATTATGTCTCTTGTATGACTATTCTTAACTGCCTTCTTCACATCAGTAAATATAGAATATATCTTCGCTCGTATTCTTCACCCCACCGCTTGGTCTTGGTCGCGCTCGTGCCGCGTGCGCGTGAAGTTAGTCATGGTCTGGATACGTCAACATGTACAAAAGAAGATCGAAAAGCGGTCTTTTTGTTGCAATTAACTGTACTCATTCAAGTCAATTTCATGAGGTAGTATTAACTTTGAGTCAAATTAGGTTATTAGTCTGTCATCGGAGATTCGCCGCAACTTCAATCTTGTCTGAATGTTCGAGCCTTACGGCAAAACGCCGGCAAGCATCTTGTCAAAATACACTGATCAGGAAAAAATTTGAATCACTGGTATTTAATTGCGCTTGATTATTCATTAAAACTACAGTTCATACGGATAAAACGTAAATTTTTGAATCGCTGGTATTTAATTGCACTTGATTATTCATTTAAACTACAGTTCATACGGATAAAATGTAAATTTTATTTAGTAACCACACTTTAATTAAACTTGAAGCAACACGTTTGAAATAGCCAACCCCAACGTAAGAGACTATACTGCTTAAACGAAGCTTTTATAGCACAGCCGCCAGCACTAGCGTTGGGGGCAAAAGATCGCTAGTGGAGCAACAGAGCGCGGTGCGTTCACGTAGAACCTCACAGTAGGGCTGGCGGGAGACGACTGAATAACCCGGCTCCCAGCCGATCAAGACTCAACCCAGGCCCGTCACAGGAGCGCAGCCGTGCACCAACAATTTTGTGCACCATAAGCCCTGAATCGAACGCCTTGGATCTCTCCGGACATCCACCAATCAGCCGTGAACCATTCGGCTTTGTCTTCCTCCGGCCACGCATAGAACCTGCCGTGCACCACCAGGCCGCGGATCGAATCTGACTTCCTGGCATCGTTAAATTACGTAATTTTGCGTTCACCGCATCTGAGGTTAAGGTGCCTGTACACAGGGATAGTACTAGCCGCTAGTTCATCCGGCGCTTGAACTGTCCACGCTACTAGCCTCGTGTATAGGCCCAGGGGTTCAGCCGCTTCAGAGGCATGCGCCGGCAAGTGCCCGAGGCGCGGGCGAGAGATACAACGATGTGTTGATATCTTGGCTGGAGAAGTGGCTAGTAGCGCTGATGCAGCCATGGTGAGAGCCTCTGGGCCGCTCCTGTGAAGTATCTTGGGTCACGTAAATCATGGCTTGTTTGAACGATAATGTTTCTAAGAGGAATCCAACAAAGTGGATTCCAGACGATATTTAAATATTCCAAAAATATGAATTAAAGTATAATGTTTTCCATGATGGTTACTCCAACAAAATGAAGAGAGAAACGAGTATTTTGAAACGGAAAGAAGACCTTATTAGTCAGGGTTTAGGTAGTTATTACCGACGCTGTATTTTTAAGGGCTAGAATATGGAGTATAAAAAAGACGTACAGACTCGAGTTGTTGAAGGTGATCACACTATCCATCTTGACCGACCTCACTCGACGGCTTCTAACGACTCACTGGCGGGCGCGAACGAGAAGATAGCGGCACCTTATACTCTCCTCGTGTGTACAGGCTTACTAGCCGGATAGTCACCAAGCGACCGACACTAGCCAGATTTACTAGCCGTCTTCACTATCCCCGTGTACAAGCACCTTTAGGTTTCAGATAGCATAGTTATGTTCCAAAATTTATCGTCCTTCGACAAGTGGCCGTTCGACCGAGGGCTGGTTCGACCCACGGCCTAGATACGGACGGCTTGAAGTGTTGAAGGCTACGTTCCGGAAGGCAGTAATCATGATGGTCCAATACATCCAGGGCAGTGGTGGTCTTCGGCAGGCGACCCACCAGTCACGACCACTGCGGTAAGGTTGGGCTCAAATGTTACTGAAGTCATTACTCCGAATGTCGCTGGGCGAACACCTTAGCTAGGTATGAAAATAAATGCATATGAAATGAACGCGATTAACAGTGAACGACTTCCACCGTTCACAAGTGGAGCTCTTCAATTTAACCCATCCAGCGATTCAATAAATGTGAAATGTGGTGAGGAAATCTCAGTGTCAGTCGTCCCTAATAACTGAAACGGATGCGACGTCAACCAAGGCTAAGAGAACTTCTTGAAAAGTACACGATAAAGAATATAAATGAATCTGATCGAGTAAGCGAATTTGATGAGCAGAAACCTTCAACGGAAACCTTACCGAGTGCACGTCTCGGACAAATTTACGGCCGGACTTGCGGCCGGTCTCGAGGCCGATGTCCAAATTCAGTGAGCATGGAATATCTCCCAAAGTAATGAACGTAGCTCGATGAACTTGGTACACGTATTCATTAGGACCTAACGGTGATGTTTAGCTCGTGAAATTATTATAAATTTCGCCTTGATTCTGAGTTATTTGATGCTACGTGCCGAAATTTGCAGTGAGCAAGACATTTCTTCCAAGGTACTGAACATATATGGACGAAATTTTGAATACATTCCTAACCTCCCAACGGTGATGTTCAGCTCGTGACAATTTTTTCGATTTGCCTTCGTTCTCTAGTTATACGTATATACGGAGAAACGACCGGCATTTCTCAGGCCGATTTTAAACTTGCATTGGCCAAGAGCGCGTATACGTAAAGCCGTATAACTCGCAAACGAAAGCAAAATCGAAAAAATTGTCATGAGCTAAACATCACCGTTGGGAGGTTAGAAATGTATATTCAAAATTTCGTCCATATATGTTCAGTACCTTGGAAGAAATGTCTTGCTCACTGCAAATTTCGGCACGTAGCATCAAATAACTCACGAATGAAGGCGAAATTCATAAAAATTTCACGAGCTAAACATCATCGTTAGGTCCTAATGAATACGTGTACCAAGTTTCATTGAGCTACGTTCATCACTTTGTGAGATATTCCTTGCTCACTGAATTTGGAGATTTACTGCGAGTCCAGCGTAAATTTGTCCGAGACGTGTCCTACTCCTGCCCGGGTGGATAGCTAGAGGTCAGCATAGCCCAAGTCCACAGTACGATTCATATACCTTCCCGAGCGTTACGCAGCCGGGCATCTTCACGGCTTTTGAATCAAAGCGCCCACTACAACACCGCCGTTCAGTCACAGGCCGGAGCGCATACAGGCCGGAGCCCAACTGGCCGGGGCGCAACAGGCCCTACCGCAACAGCTACTCCTAACGTAACCTAACCAAACCTAACCTGCGCCGCCTGTTGCGGTAGGCCTGTTGCGTTCCGGCCAGTTGTGCTGCGGCGCTGTGGAGCATTGGCTGTGTTGTGCTGCGGCGCTGTGGAGCATTGGCTGTGTTGTGCAAAGCGGATTTACTGTTAGCCGGAGTTGCCCACAGCTCATTGGTCTGAGGCTATGTGCAGATATTGCATGCTGATGGTTGGCGTTTCCACCCCGCCCTGCCCAAGATTTCATTACCCCACCCCGCCCTCCTCAAATTTGCCGTACTCCACCCCTGCTCGTCGTGCGCTGCCTGTAACGCGTGCGCGGGTCGTGACACGTACGCATATCATGGCACGTGTCACCTGACCGGTTTATGGTAATGATAACCAAAGTCAATATACTTTTGTGGCTAAATTTTAGTTAATTCGAACACTCAGGCAACTAACTTGTATCTCTCATTTTATCTTGGACAGAATTTTCGCTACAGTGAAAGTAAAATTTGCTGACAATAATGTTCATTGGTCTTCAGTCAATTGTGTGTCAGAGAGCAGCTTCTTCAAGCCTAAAACAGATTTTTTTAAATCGAAAATTATCGCACGCTGTTTACATGTAATTTTTGTGGGCCGTTACCAGCGTCTGAATTGTTTTTGTGTCCGTGTTCTCTTGAGTCAGGAATGTGCCGAGCGCAACGGTGCCTCACACAAACGTGGCCGTGCATCGCATGCTCCAACAAGGCATCAACAGCAGCTATAGAAATAACAGCAGCTGCAACCTATCAGTGATTTACAGGCGTGACTCATCCACTATGGTGCAATCCATGTGCACTGCAAAGAATTAACCTGTTGGCCCCATCACCAGTCCATATACAACTATCATTTTGATTATTTCTCACTCCTAAGGTAATGACACCTGTCAATAACAGACCTACTACTACTACTCCTCAATAAACTTCAACTGATACGTCGTTCCAACCCACCGTCAACGACCGGGCTGAGGGCACAGTGCCGTCAACGACCGGGCTGAGGGCACAGTGCCGTCAACGACCGGGCTGAGGGCACAGTGATATGGTAAATAGGGAACAGCATGCGGCCAAAGTTTTATATTTTAATAATTTTGAATGATTTCTTATGTGGACAAAAAATATGAATGAGGAAACCTTTCAATCAATGAGGACCAAAAACGCTCATGCGCACTGTAGCCCTGATTCGGCTGATGTGAGATGCACACTTGCTCAGTATGAGGGTTGCCTTCACACCGTTTTTTTTGTGTTCTTAACAGATTTCCTGAAGATACGCTTGTATCAGCTTGCGAAA